GTGTTGAAAGAATTACTTAAACGTGCCTATGGGAAGGCAGACGGGAGGATGGGTCTGACCCCAGGCTAGATGAGAGTCTCATTTCGACGAAGTGGACAAGCGTCCATAAATTCACCTCTCTCGAGCCTGAACTAGAGTACATCGAGCCAAACCAATGATCAGGTTAACTCTCCTTTGTCAGTTCCAAAGTTTTCGAGTGGAAGAGGAGAGGGAGCGAGAATTCTATTCGATAATTCTAGAAGAAACTAAATGTGAAATGATTACCGCGGTGCGAAAACTTTGGGTGACTTTTGACAAATTCCTTTCTTTATTTTAATTTTACCGCAGAATTTAGAAGCATCAAATCCTCATTCTCCGACGTTCCAAGTGTGTTTATTAGTATTAATAAATCAAGAACATTTTCGTGCTGCTCCACGTGAAGAGGTGGCCTTGTCGGCCGTCTCAACTTCGAGGCGCACTTAGTACATCGTTTCTGATAAAACAAATGGCAACAACAATTTTAAAAGGAAACCGCAAGATCATAATGCTAAAAAAAGGAATGCGGGACCTCATTCGACGTACTTCCGCAAAACAGGAGCGTCTTAGACGCGAAAGTACTGTTGCGTTTCAAGTATCCAAACCTGATATCGTATTGTTTGCCCACCAGACATGAGACGCCAATAGTGATGTAATCAAACAGATAGTATCTTGCTGATTTTAGGATGTAGTCCATCCCATTGTAGAGTTACAATCATCCCTGTTTTGGTTTGTGTTTTAAAGAATAACGAGCAGTAAATACGAGGCAACAATCCCTTCGCTGCTCAGCAAGACTTGGTGTTTGATACACCTGAAACAATCACAAGGTTTCCTCACGAGCCTGCGTACCTCGCTTTGTTACATAGACCATATACACGTAGATGGAATTTACTTCCTTTTTTCACTTTAAAAGTTCATTTCTGGACATCGTTGTTGGAGTATAGGTGAAAGTAGCTAAGTTAAGGCCCGTACAATTCTGCAGAAGGAACCATAAATTCTCATCGTAAGATTCATCTACTTGTGAAACTTTACAACGTGTAAAGCGAAAAATCCTTTTTTTGATCAGTGTTTCCATGGAAGAGGGCTGATGTGATGAAAGCGAAACATCAATGCAAATTTATGATCTTGTGCAGACATCAGGAGTTATTTGTTAATGTTTAGCTTTAGTGTAAACAATTAGGTGATTGAACATGATAAATAATTTAGCGCTTCTTTTGTTGTTACTTTTTAAAGATAACCTATGTCGGGGTATTTTATGTTATATTTACTGCCTTACTCCGGAAATATGCTAAGATTGCATGTTTTACTGCACATCTTCTGACCATTTTGAGACCGAAGTCCAACCCAATCGTGATTTTTACGTTGATTTCGTTTGAATGAAAGTGGCTGTCTTAAGAAGCTGGGTTGCGAGATAGTGGCTGCATCAGATGGCTAGCGTCTCTCACTTTCATCGCGTAAAATGGCACATGAAAGCATAGAAGTTGTATTCGTGTCCCAAAGCTTGCTTTGTTTCATATATCTCATTTCATGTAAGTTGAGCTTTTGGTAACTCGAATTCTCTGAGGACGTAAGCATACATAATAAAAATTGTTGAAGATATATGCCCACATAAGCCATCGCCGTAGCCTGGAATTCAACACATTTTTTCCGTAATGCTTTTCTACAGCTGCCATGCTTCCCATGGCTTTTGATAATTTTCGATTGCCTTCGTTCGTTGGCTGTTAGCGAGTTTTAAATAAGCTCCAACCTTTTTTTGGGTCTGGAGTTAAATATTTTCATTGAGAAGCGAAAAAAATCCTTGAGAAGTGACATTTTGTGACCAAATACTCCGTCAAAGCTTGGTGAACTAGAATGCCGTCTTAGGATTAAAGAGAGCATCAAAATATAGAGCGGTGGAAAGAGAGTACCTTACTCACCATAACCTCATTTCGTTTGGAAACAAGTGTTGACATTTTACTGATAATACCACCATTCTGTTGGCTTGTGTGTTATAAGCTAGGATGATAGCTTCCCACTACGATGAACCCTCAAAAACGCCAAGCATCCACACTAATTAAAGTTGTTTTTGTTATGTCTAAGGCCAATCAAAATTCTGATTGACAACAATGGCAGCAGCGACTTTATAGCCTGCAAGTTTGGCAAATACTACTCGGTCTGTCTGGGTAGTTGCTCCGATTGGATTGGATCTAGACTGTAATACTTTGTTTATGTGATCACCCGTGTGACTGGTAATTACTGTGGCCTGCAATTTGCTCTTGTGTGGGTGAGCTGGCATCCGGGGCAAGCTACATTTTTTCCCAGTCCAAATTAAGGCCCTCTTTAAAGAGTGGGAAGTGTCGAAGGGGAGAAGTCTTAGGACGGTACATTGCCAATAAATCAGGTTCAGTTAAGGGTAGCAAACTATGCTGTTTCCTTTAAAAAAAATAAAGGGGCAATGCAGGAGCTGCATTAATGCAAGGAACTGAGGAAATGTCGCTGGATAAAAAAGGTTATACTCCTCAAGTTACAAGCTAAAAAACAACAAGTCCCTATTCGAAGCCTAAAAGGCACAACTCCCACAATGAAGTTTGTAATACCTTGTTTGTGCGACTACTTGACGTTCAGCGGGCACTTTAGGATATGTTTGACCCTTTTACTCGTGAGCTGGCCTTCGAGCCGTGCTCAGGTCCAATTGCTGTCTTTCTCTTCAGAATACATGTATCCAGTCTCAATTCTTTCTTCCCCCTACAAAGCGTCTCGAGACTTCCCATAGCGTGGAAGAAGGCAGTAAGTAAGACAAGATACATGTATTCCGAAGAGAACAGAGCAAATGGACCTGAGCATGGCCCGGACGACAACCAAGTATACAAGCATCAGACAAGTCTTAAAGTGATCGCCAAACGTCAGGTAGCAACATAAACAAAACACTACAATAAACGTACTTTTTAGGCAGAATCGCAATTAATAAACGTCACTGAAATATATACTAGAGTATTTAGGTGGACTTTTATAGTGGAGAGGCGAGTTGCGATTCGGTGCTTTAGGACCGTGAGGAATCCCTCTCCGGGTGATTTGTGCTATTTGGCTCATCTGTATTTCTATCCTCCTTCTTCCTATAATCAATACCTAATAAATCTACTGCAATTGAACCTCTCCCAAAGTCCAAGTTTTAAGAGCACGGGAGCAAGCATGCAATTCCTACAATCGCAATGTTTAGGTTAGCGAAATGTTGCTAAGTAAATTAAAAGTCATTATTATACCATATTCTTTGGCTAATGGGATTTTAGTGCTATTCACTGTAAAGGATCTCATCTGATTATGATTCATTCATATGTAGAAATGGTGATGAATAATCCAAAACTACCATAACTCATTATAGTTGTTTTAGTGAATCTAGTCACCTCATGTTATAGCAGGAATCTCCATTTTCTAATTTTGCGGTCTGTGGTATGTTTGCTCCTTTGGGTTGGTTTGTGGGCGTGCTAAAATGTTCTTCTTCGTTACATTTTTTTTTCAAAATATCATCCTTTTGGTTCCTCTTTTGGTGTTGATTTTGACATGTAGATGTCTTTTAGGCGCTGTGAATCCTTTTCATCAGCAATTTCGCATGAAAATATACTGAACGAGCATTCTTGAGTGTTATTCTATCTTTGCAAGATTTCAATTTGACCTCTAAAGTCGTCTGGTTCGATTTTACCCGTTTAGCGGCATATGTTATTTGCATCACTAAGTGTTTTGAAGGAAAATCGACTCCCTCGACTAAGTCTGGAATCTAAATGTCGTAGATCAAGCGAAGTCTGAATAAACTTTCCGTATTTCTGATGTCTCAAAACGCAGGAAGTGAATGGAATCGAAGCAAAATGGAGGGTCTTTGTGTGTCTAATTCTTGCGCAACATCATTTCAAATCCAGTTTCAGTTACAATGTCATATGAAAGTCAAGATTATGGATCTCGACAAAGGCGAACAAGGTACGATGCCTATGATTCACCGCCAATGCGAGGACGTCAGAACGACTACGTGTAAGCTCTTCCCTTTACTCCTGCTACCTATTAAGCTGTCGCTTTGGTGTGCTAATTCCCTATTTTCAATGTTTCTCGTTGAAGAGCTGAAGAAAGACATCACCGTCCTTTCTACAGACCTGAAATGCGCCCACGCTATCGTGATTACGATGAAATGCAGGACAGAAGACCTCCTCCGTCACGAAGAGACTACTTTAGCAGACGTGGTGGTGGTGGTGGCGACTACTACGGCGGTCCGCCCCCACGTCGAACTGAACAAGCCCGACCTTGCAAAGTTCTCGGCGTATTCGGCCTCTCAATTCACACGACTGAACGAGATCTTTACAACGTTTTCTCAATATATGGTCGTGTTCGCGATATCCATATGGTCTATGACAATATGTCAGGTATTGATTTCAACTCCGTATTTTCAACCTCGTATCAAAACAGCAAATCAACACAATTGAGCATTTGAATAAAACTCAAAAGCACCGTGTTGGAGAACGCGTTCGTCAAAATGTTCGAGCATTGCGTTGCAAGTCTGAAGCTTAGAGAACCGCGCTTGTGATTGTCCTCCTCACCTGTCCTATGCTCATCTTTGTAGTAGTTTTCGGGAATCATGGGAATGTTTTTCGCTTGCTCCTTGCAGGTCGATCACGAGGTTTTGCATTTGTGTACTACGATTCAACGGAGGATGCTCGGCGAGCGAAAACTAGTTGTGAAGGCGGGCTTGATATCGACGGTAAAGTTGCTCGTGTTGACTACAGTCTAACCACAGCTCCGCATCGTCCCACGCCTGGCATTTACATGGGAAGGAGGTATGACGACGACAGAAGGCGTGGAAGACCGTGCGAACGTCTACCACGTTACGGCCGCTATTCTGAAGATGATATGGGGCCTTCCTATGGTCGAATGCCTCCACGATATTGTGGTAGTGACATATCTACATCACCGGGACGCCCTGTTCGCGAGCGTTCACCGATTCGACCTTCCCGGCACTTGCAGCGTTCTGGTGGTCGACGACGTACCGTCTCCAGCAGTCGCTCTAGGTCACCACCCCCAGTCTACAATGGGAGCCGAAAGGTGTCTGAAGGTTCCCCCGATCGCCCACGCAAGTCTGGAACTGGGAACAATGTAGGTGGAGGCGCCAACGCGGGCGGAAAGGTGGTTGATGTGGCTTGGTCCGATGCTGAGTAGATTTTGTGTAGTTTTCGACATTTTTATACGTGTGTGCATGTGTGCGTGTGTGTTGTAACAGAGCATTTCAATAATTCTGCAAGTTTGTTTTCGAAGTTATCAATTACTGGGTTCTGAGAGAATGATTCGTTTGCTGCTGTTTTGGCAGTATGTTTGCGCTGGGATATGGGGAGTAGGAATTTGAAGTTTTGGGTTTGGCCGTCAGCTCAATTCATCATCGCCTGATTTACCTTGGGTTTTAATTACAGCGTGGTTGGGTAATTGTGATTACTCTATTCTTGCAGTCTGGAGGAAATCAACGAATTGTCTAATGCGTGATTAATCGAGGTAGTTTGCTATGTAATCTCAACGGCGAAGTAGGCTACTAGTCTTGCTTGCGCGGTGTTTAACCACTTTTGGGGTTTTACACTTCGATACTCATTTGGTGTCGCTTGGGTTAATTTATGAGATGTCTATGAGTTGTGCTATCCTTATGAGAGCTTAGGAAAGACGACAGGTCGGCACAAAGGTGGGTTTGGGCATTTTATAAGTATTCGAGTGTCCTCGGATGGTGTCATCCGGAGCATTCAATTCGATTGACCCTTCCCGTAGAATTTGCCTATCAGGGTCCTGTTTGTGGAATGGTAAGTTCTCAACGCAAGTCTCGTCCCACCAAGCCTTATTATTCGGAATTCATTCTTCCATTGCGTCCGTCGTAGGCGCCTTTTCGGTATGGCAATGAGCGATTCCCTGAGAAACAAGAGAGGCCAAGCAAAGGATAGGGAGCCTCGGACCGTGAACTCCGACTGACTGCAGGACATGGTTACCCTATGATGCAAATGAACGCACGACTATAGTAATATTTCCCAGTTATGAATTTTATGCTAAGCTGCGAAAACAATCGAATTGTTCAATGGGTAGAACTTCGAGACGCACTCTTGCAGCACCACTTGTCTTCTCTGTTCCCGAGGCGACGAACAAACACAAAAGCAACTTCACAGTTCTCACCTTATTGTGCTCAGATATATACCTAGCGTCTTCGGTTCACATCGTCACATCTCAGTACTGTGGGCACTTTAAAATCCATCAGGTAGCAAGGATCACGTGTACACCGCGTAAGTGTCTCACTGTGCTAACGTTGCTTTTCCACACCGCAAGTAGTGGAATAGCTCACCACAGGCGCCACCCAGTTATTTGCAGTGAGGTGATTTTTAAGCCATATCTAAGAAACCCGATGAGAGCTACTCCCAATAATTGAGTGAATGACTTCAGCAGGAGCGAGACAACATCGGCCATAAAAATGTGCTCGTCAAGCTTGTGCGCTATCGGTAAACTCCCAAGACCTATTTAGCACAGATGAATTGAGACCGCCTGGTCAGACAAAAATAACAGGAGCTGTGCATCTAGACGCGCAGTCTCCGAAAGACCCGGTGAATAAGGCCTACCACGTCCAAATTTCACTAGCTACAGTAACACGAAGTAATCACTTGAGCAAATAGGAGCTCACCGTCTGTGTGCTGGGTGCGCCGAGCCACGTCTCCAGACAACCCGCAAGAGCGTGATTAGCGATCATATTGAGCTTTATTAATTTATGTAACTCATTTAGTAGATCACGCGCGTCCACAGAAGAACTTTCAGTGACCGGGAGTGCTTCTACAAAAAAAATACACACGATCCAAGGGACTCTGGTTAAAGACGATAATTATATTCTCGAAATTTCACCAACGCTGGAAAAGGCGTTGTTGACTCGGCGATCAGCAAGATTGCAGTATCAAAAGGTAGGAAGGAATAAAGGAAAGTGGGATCTGAAATCATATGTTCACAGCTAGACGCACATGTTAAAGGCAGCTCCGAGAAACTGTTCAAAGCTCATGTTCACAACACCACGTCTTTGAACATCTAATGCACTGAAGCTTCTTGTAAGGATCTAAAAGCAGAAAAATAAATGAATAAAAAAAGAACACAAGTAGACATTAACCACAACTTAAATACACCTGTAGACACACGAGGATGTATATGTATTTGTCAAATCCGAGTTTATTCAACCGCTGCCTATCAAAACGCATCATCAGCCACTGTACGAAGCGTGGACTAAGATTGTATCCGAAATGTTGTAGAGCAGAAGAGAACTCATTGAAATCAATGGATCCAGAACGATCACGATCGTGCTGAGTGAAGAGGTTCTGCCATGAAGTTATGTAGTTAAAGAGCTGACCGAACTCGTTTAGAGATATGGTGCCATTGTTGTCAGCATCAAACAGTGATATCATCAAAGAGACACAGGCAATGTCAAACGGAGTACCAAGACCTATGTAAATATGAGGCTAAAATTCCACCTACCATTGGTGAGGGCAGCCTGCAACTCCTCTGCATTAATATAACCACTACCATCCTTATCAACCCTACAATATCATTAGGAAAATAAGATGATCACCTTCTAAAAATTTCGGTTATCCTCTGATCCATACCAACCAACGAATGAGACCGCGAGCCGAGTACGAGAACGTGAACAGAGCAACAAAATAGTCGCGGTAGTGGATCCTGGTCAATCTAAACAAGATAGAAGGTTAGAAGCGTCCGCCACAAGCAGGAAGACTAATGGTTATGGTTAGATTCGCATTGATATACAGAAATGAGCACTTTTGCCATAAGGTACATGCATTAAGAATGGCATACTCACTTACACATTGTTGTTATCTACAAATTCAAAATAAATCGAAATGGTATTGTTTTCCATTTTTGCTTTCACGTCTGCTATTATTAGCCAATACTTCTGTTTCATTGAGAAAATGGAATAAAAGAGTCATCTAACCATTACTTTGACCGTCATTTGTCAGTTAATGATTACTTGATTACATACGACAAAATCCCGTAAGTTCAGCGTTAGTAGGCACTTTGCATTTCTTCATAGGGGTGTTATAGCGAGCATCTTGCGCACAGAGTATGACATACCCTTGATGCTGCTCACTTTTAGTGCACTTGTTTCTCTGTCTCGTCGTGGACTTGACTGTTCCTTTTGGCACCTTGACATACGCATCAGCGAAGTCTGGGCTTGACTTACCATTTTCATCAAGCGTAGTATGAAGTTATTGAATTTTCTTAACTGATTCGATGTTCGCTGTTAGGTTTTTATTAATACGCGCTCTTAAGAGCACTGCTCTTCGAAATATTTGCTTCTCAATCGATGTGGGTACAGATATGCTCGCCGTAGTGCAATTGGCGTCAACAAATGAAAAGAAGAAAAATTTGGATAAAACTGTATGCCTAATCACCGAGGCCGCTGCAGAAGGAGCTAAAGTGTGCTTTTGCATCTTAAAATAGTTCATCAGATGGTTTTTTTGCCAGAGTCCGCGGATTTTATCGCAACATCAGGGAAGGAGGTGGTGGACTTGTCTGAAGATTTCAACGGTCCTTTCTTGACAACGATTAGTAACCTCGCGAAGCAACTAGACATTTGGATCAGTGTTGGGAGCATGCACAGAAAAGTAGGTGTGCTAAAGTTTTAGTGTTCGATGTCAGAACAATTCTCAGTGTGAGGATCATCGGCTGTTCAATACGCATGTTGTGCTTAACGGCAAGGGTGAGATTGTGGGAACGTACGATAAGACTCACCTTTTTTCTGTTAATCTTGATGGCAGCTCTTCGGCGAATGAGGTTGGTTTATTTAGTTTAACTATTAACCGGTAACAGAATGAGCCCAGAAGAATGTCCTTCCAAGAATCGCGGTACATCCAACCAGGTTTTGAGGCTCCTGTTGTTGTTCATGGAACTCCTGTCGGCGATCTTGGGTTGGCCATTGTAAGGGAGGCCAATTTAGGTTAATTTATAATGTTGCTTTTCAGTGTTACGATTTGCGGTTTCCTGAGCTGGCGAGTGCACTTCGTTACAGAGGTGGGGCGAATGTTTTAGCCTATCCTTCGGCTTTTACCTCTACCACGGGCAACGCTGGCCACTGGCATACTCTACTGCGCGCCAGGGCCATCGAAAATCAGTGCTATGTCATTGCCGCTGCTCAAGTATGCCAGCAATTATTATATCACTCATTCCGCCATTTGATCAGTACTTAAGATCACTATTCCGCACTTTGCAAGAGCGCCATTCATAATTCAAAACTCACGACCTATGGGCACAGCATGGTTGTCGATCCGTTCGGCCAAATAATTGCCGAGCAGATGAAGCCTGGTCCTGGCTTGCTTTTCGCCCGACTTTATCATCATTCTCGGCCGTCTTGTGGCGTTGGTGATGTGATCAATTACACCGACAGTGTGAGGGCCGTTTTGCCTGTTGAGTATAGTCGTCGGCATGATCTGTTCCCCCAGTCAGACGCAGGGATACCAATTCGTGCGTTTATCTTCTTGTTTTTGCACAACTTCACTCTTCTTTAAGTCAGGTCGGTCTCTTTGACGCCACATTTCGTAGCGTCACAAGTAAATAGCTGCGTGAAAACTCACGGAGGGCGTGAAAAGCAGTCATTACGTTGAGATTAATTGTTGTGAGCATTACAAAACGTTAACTTTATTATTTAACATGGAATAATATTGCTGGTGGTCGTGTTGGCGTTGACTTACACTTATAGTGATGCCATGAGTACTAGTCTACCATTGTAGTTTCTTGAGTGGCCATTCATTTACGACCTATTGAATGTCAATGAACACACGTGGGCGTAACCTTGGCGGCTGAACGCACGTGGATAAGTGATGTCTGTAACCTTGCTGATTTGAATTACAATTTTAAAGCCATACCATGTGAAATGCGTGATCCTGACGGTTAGCAGGTTTGCCTTATCGATTTTTGTCATGCACTTTCCATTGCTTTGACTGACAGTGAAAACGCTTTTGGTAACAGGAATAGGTCGTTCATCGTTCAGTTTATTTCGATGCGTTTACTAGTCTAACAGTGAGTTAGTTCATGTCTCGTCGTTTTAATGGTGATAAAATCACTCGTGAAATTCTCTTTAATGCGTATCATTGCTAACCAATGCAGAGATTCGGTTTCTTGAATGCAATGTTCCTAATTTATTTATTCTACGATTACTTGTCTGTGGAGTTAGCCCCAACTCAACGCCAATACTGTAATTACGTCGTAACAACGATTCAGAAGGGAGGATATGTGTTCAAGTTTTATGAAATGTGCATCCATCCATTTCAAGAGCCTTTAGTTCCGTCTTTTCCTGTTCATTCTCCGTCCATATCGTTGCAGTTATCTCATTGGTCTCAATCCTTTATTTATTCGTATTATCCTCACCTTACTCTTGAGTGCTTTGGCCTCTTGTGTCTTAGTTCAATTTTTAAATGTTCAGCTATCGGCACCGACGAATTTCACTTCGGTCCCTTCGTTGTCAAACCGGGTCAGGTCTTCTACCGGACGCCTGTTTCCATAGCATTCGTAAACATTAGTCCGTTGGTCCCCGGTCGTATCCTTTTACTTCAATAACGTCGAAACTATTTGCTTTATAAATCCCTCATTGCAACGTCTTCTAGGTCATGTCAACCTTAACCACATGCCTAGATGTTTTAGTTACGCCCATTGAAACGATTGATAGATTTACTCTTTTGCCCATTGGGACAATTACTGATATGTACGTCTGTGTGGAACGCATTGCAAATAAACTTTCTGAGCAATACAATGCGCAGAGTTTCACAATCTCTATTCAGGATGGAAAGGATGCCGGTCAGACTGTGCCGGTGAGTTGGGACGGTACTTGCCCTGAACTCAAGTGCTTTGGTACTCTCAAATTTAGTTGATACTGTAAAATGCTACCGGAGCAGTGGCGTGTGTTAAGCCTTGCATTCAATTTAGGCATGACTCGCGAAGACTTGATATCGTGTTTACTTTCACTATTGCCTAGGCACATCAGCTAAATGGAATATTTGCACCTGTTTGTAATTGGCTTTAGAGCCGAAGTTGATCGGGCATGAATCTTTATTGGGATCTTTGCATCTTGTGGTAGGGTTTTGAGCGACTAGATGTTTCATAGCTAATAACTTTTTTATCCCTTCAGCACGTGCATATCCATGTACTCCCAAGGAAGCCAGGCGATTTCGCTAAAAACGATGATATATACGATGCTGTGAGTAGATCCCCTGCGACAGCTATTTATGCCTTCCTAGCCTCCACGGAGTTCTACTACTTTTTTTTGGATTGAACACGTTATAGCTGCAGAATCATGACAAGGTGGCAAATCGAAAGTACCGCAGTTACGAAGAAATGGCAGAGGAGGCGAAACTTCTCCGGTCGCTCTTTTACGATGAGGAGGGTCATCCTTTGAAGAAAGTTTGATAATCATTGGCATCTGGTTTGGTGAATAAAGGCATATTATTCTGATTAATAGTGATTATTTTCGATGTTCTTATCTTGAATGGGTGGATCAGTTTTCCATACTTGTTTCGAGACTTTTGAGGACGGATTTAAGGAACTGAGGTACGAGTACCTACTTGCTTTGACTTTTATCCGACTTTGTCGTGTGTGTCGACCAGCCTTCAATAAATCGTCTACTTAAATTACGTATTTGCTTCCCGTCCAAACACTCTAGCGAGATAACACTGGATTATTAGGCACGCCTACCCAAATTTTTGGTCGCAACTATTATTCTGTTGTTAATTCTCTTGTTTTTCATTACGGGATTCCCGATTATGTTCAACTCGCTAAGGCATTCCATCTTAGAAAGAACGGTTAACACGTCACTTTCATCAGATAATTGGTTAAACCCGGTATCCAGACGCTGCAGGTGCACCAAGCATTCTAGACCCTGTAGATAGTTAACGTTGGAGGCAGATACGTCCAGGTACCTAAGGGAGGTCTACCAAATGAAATACCGGGAGGGCGTTGCCTTTATCGCCGCGAGACTTCGGTCGTCAAAGATCAATCCTTCCCCTACTGGGAGGCGTTGGTGGTCAATACGGAGTTCTTGTAGTTTGCTCTGTGATTCCAAGCCCTCAAGAACCGATATTTTATTCCCTGAGAGATATCTAAAATGATGAGCCACTCAGATGCTGCATTACAGTTTCTCCAGGTTGAACAACGTTCCAAGGTTATGCATTCTTGTAATATCGTTCTGTTGTATGTATAAGTGGGTTAGGTTTGGATTCGCAGGCATATCTGGTATTCTAGTGAGGCGGTTTTCGTAAAGGTACAAAACCTGGAGGTTTGTGCATGCTTTGAGTGCATCACCCTATCCCAATATTTACTTAAGAACAGGTAAATATTTTTGAGCTACCACGTCGTCAATATCCTTGTTGTTCATGTAAAGGTGTGTAATTCTGCCTAGGTACTTTTCTAGCGGCTCATTAATTCTTCTTTTGCAATACTGAGAGGTTGACCTACAGACGATGCTCGTGGTCACTTTTACCATCTCGAATGGGTGCGTTTGCACGCAACTGAGATGCTAAGGGAAGGTGAAATAGTAAAACATACTCACATGTAACTTGAATTGCGAGATACGATCAAAAATTATGACGCAACCAGTGATCAAAAGTCATTAATGCAATAGATATGAACATGCATCCCGTTGAAGTAGGATAAAATTGTTTAAAAATGTCTGTTTTGTTTATTTCAAATTCAATGATTTGATTTACACTGTTTTGGTCCGCCTTTGAATAGCCTTTAATGGGTTCAGTTTGAGTTAACCCTTGATTTTGGTTGCAAGTGAATGAGTCCTTTGTCCAAAAGACTCATTGTCACCTACATATTTGTTTGTGTTCTTCGTTGTGACAGCGGCTAGCGCGAATCTTGCTTCCTTCCTACATGGCTGAGGATCGGGTTTCTGCCTTCTTATCGCGTGAGAAAGAAAATTTGGGTGACTTAACGGATGAGTTGTTTAACGGTACTGGGAACGCTCCAGGTATGCACTCCTTTTGGTACACCTCTTTTTATGTATTTTGGGTAACTCGGTGTAACCGTTTGTCTATTTAGATTTCGCTGAGGGCTCAAAAGGAGATACTGACCTTTTAAGTGAATCTGAGGAATCCCAAAAAATCGAGGAACCTCCATTGACTGGAATCGAGTCAACATTTTGCCTCACTGGCCAGCACATCAACGGCACTTCACAGAAGAAAGTTAGTATTCAGTCTTCAGTCACTAGAGGACAGGAAAGTGCCATCCTTGAATCTTGGAGAGCCAATTTCGAGGCGGATATCAAAGCGCGTGACGAGAGGGAAGTCTCTAAGCGTACGGAGCTTGAGGCGAATGCTAAGAAAGTAATCCTAGTTTATTTCCTCTTGCTCCTCAATTTTGATGAATGTTTTGTCTTCTTTCCTTTTTTCATTCTGAATGGGCATTTCCATGGCGGCTTTTGGATTAGTAGTAAAATTTTGTTAAATCAAAATTTCCCGCAGAATTCTTGGAAGAAGTAGTTTTCAATTTCTCAATATCCTTGCAACTATTATTTTTACTGTGTGCCTCACTGTTTGTTCGTCCCGTTGGAAGCACCTCACCATTGAGTTTGTGTTTCTTGGTAGCATGACACTTCATTCTTTCCTCATCCTAAGCATTCGATTTGGTATACCTTTGCTTTGTTCTCTCCCGAATGGTGCGATCTATGTGTTTTTTTGTAGGCTCTTGTATTTCAAGCATTAATTTGCTGTCCTCTCCTTCGACCTCCTCTATAATTTTGCACTTATTTGCTGTTTAAGTAATTCACTAGCTGATAAAATATGACGGGCTAAAGACAACTCTGCCAATAAAAAAAATTGAGCAGTATGCCAAATTTGTTACAAATATTATTTCTAACAGACTGCAGCTTCTGAACCTGTACATGTGGTGTTTGAATTTTTGAATGCAATGTCTTATAAATAGGCGGTATTAACTGAATCCATTTGTTAGTGATTCACCCTTTGCTGGAAGTCAGCCATTTTGACCGTCTTGGGAATGATTGTGTAATTTTGGACTTTTGAGCTATCAGCTTAACCGAATTATGGTTGTATGCTTTTAAGGACTTGAAAAATGAACTTTTGTTTAGTCACAAATACGAATGAAATAGTAATGCTGTACACTGCAGCAAAGCTTGTCTACAGCGTCAACCGCGTGCTTTGTACTCCTTAGGTAATCTTCTTTAATTGTGGGAGAATTTTAAAAATGTGGACTTTGGGTTTTAAAGGTCTGTTTGCAGTTTGAGGTACAGAGTAGTGATTAATAATAGGGCATTTTCTCAGCCGTTATGCGAATCAAAACTAATGTAGGAGCTGGAGACCTGGTACGCACACTACCGGCAACAAATGGCCCTGCGATCGGCAGATAACCGGGCAGACGCTCCGAGAGATGCTTCAGGCAAAGCCTACGACGGCTTTTCGGGCCAGGCGCCTTCTGTTCGCGATACTGCAGTTTGGGAGAGCGTCTGCTGCATGTGCGATCTGACAGTAAGTCTGAGCGCTTTTCAACAGTTTATAGGGGTACATCATCACTAATCCCTTTGCGAATATCTGTGTGAGGATCCGATTTTTAATAGTTTCCTACTGAGCTTTCTGCGCTGAGTTGGTTTCAATGTTTTTCCTCGATCGGCAAGTTCGTTTCACGTATGTTTCACGTTTCTCAATTTACATGTTCGGTTGATCTCTTGTTCGCCCCTTGTAAAAGTGGGTTTACTTCTGGAATTTCTCGTAAACGCGCCAGATAAATTGGCAAACTGCAAGCAAGAAAGTTGTGTTCGGATTCATGGGCGATGAGAAAACTTTGTGCTTATAGCATGTACATTTGTGATAAGCCCGAAGTTCTTGCAATGCTCATTTTCTTGGGTTAATTTCCTTTACTTCGTTCATGCTTTGGGTCATTGTCGTTATCTGATAATATCCTCTAAAGTTATGTTCTAGTGATCTCTTTTCAACATCATACTCCCCGACATAGTTGTCCGCCTTCATTCCCCTTATGCTCTGCATCTTCGCTTACCGGTTTCGTTTTCCAGCCCTTCTGTCAAAACTTCGTTAACACAGTCGAAAAGATTTATGTTAGATTTTCGTACGGTGAAATCAAAGCTTCGCTTTCGTGAGACAGTGTTGTGCTAAATGGTTCTTATAATTCTTATTTTGCGATTTGAGCCTTTTTTATATATTGATTCAGTACATTATGGGAGTATTATAAAATATCTATTTCAGATACTTTCTCCAAGTGGTTAAATGAATTGAGCCTATTCAATCTAAAGTTTTAGTGTCTATGTGAAATCAGTTTTTTTGTAAGTCAGAAGAACACAGAGAGGTGCCAACTTTCCTTAAGTAAAAACCACTTTTGACGATTTTACCTCCATTGTAGTCGAAGAACCCAAGGAGCAGTCACGATTTGTCGCGGATGCGCAGTTTGTTGCTTAACCTTAAGACGTCTCCGTCAGGATGCACGAACTCTACGTAGCTGACCTCGTCCCGTTGTTAGGCTGTCTTGCCGGTTAAAGCCTCCTTTACTGTCATCTTCCATCTAATGGTCACACGTACAGCATCTTCCCGATCATCGTGTCTGCCTCTTCTTTACTACCCTTTTTACTTGATCTTCTTTCATTGTGAATGCGCGCACTTGTAAAACTCCCTTCATTGTGAATACTTCGGCCTATTATGATCACTAACGATGCTGGTCCTTCATTTATTTTTCATGCTTGTGAGTACTTTAATAATCGGAGTTGATTTTTACCGTTTAGCAGCAGTTGAACGTTTTGCTTTTTCCGGTTTCGCCTGACACCTGTTCCTGAATAGCTGGGAGCTCCATTGTAACTTTTGCTTGTTGCTTGTGAGCTATCGACTAACATGTAGATGCGATTTATGCGAGCTTGTGGGTCAACTCTAAATTGTGCTAACACTAATCAGAATCATGAGTTTAATAACTTTATGTCATTGAAAATGCAGGACCCTATTTATGAGACAATGCACGGTATGAAAGAAGCATACAAAGCAGACTGAAATCTGAAGAATACTTCCTCGCAAAATACGCGCATTATGTATACAAACTGGTACAGGCATTTGTATTGGTCAGTACATATGTATGTTTATAAATGTATTCTTTATTGAGATGCTCTGCCCTCCCCTCTCCTCCTCTCCCCCTCAGCCACGCTTTGATTGGCCACGCTGGCACGTGCCTTAGCCAAAATTGTGTCGATCTTTCTCTCTAACGGTGAGGGTCGATTTGCTTTCTCTTTTTCTGCCTCCCGTGCATGCACTCTTTTGTGTCCACTCAAGTTACTCCGACATCGAAAAGACTTGCCACAATTAGGGTAATCGCAACTGTAGGGTCGCTTGTTGAGGTGTAAGTTCATGTGATCATCAAGGTTGGTCTTCTTGAGGAAATTTTTCTCGCAACCTGGTACTGTGCAGGCAAAAGTCTTGCGCATGGCTCGGTTCAGGTGAATCATTCGATGGGTAAGGAGATTAGATTGTCGTGCAAAGGCCTGTTTACAGCCAGGGTAGTCACAGGAATAGGGCTTTTCACCTGTATGAATTCGATAGTGATTTATCAGTGCATGGTTATAACGGAAGGTCTTATTACAACCTGGATATGTGCAGTGATGTTCCGTGGGGTTCGAAAAATCCAGTGGCCCTTCCGATTCTGGCACCGACACTACTGGCAAAAAGTAGGGATTTATGAGGATGAATGGGTGTTGCACATTTTCCGATGGCTTTTGTTCATTCTCAGTCATGAGTTTCTGTCTCTTGAGCAAAGGCAGTGGTTCTGCGGTTTCGGGTTCGTCTGTTTCCGGAATTTTTTGGCCCTTCGGAGTGTTTGGTTGATTCATTGTCCTCAAATCCAAGGGCACCTCAACAGGTGGCACTGTTTGTGTTGCTATATTAAGAAAATCGAGAGCGCTCTTAGAGAGGGCGGCAGCTAGAGCGGATTGGAGAAGAGCAGTGGCTAGAAGTGGGAGGTTGACAGTAGGCATGGGAATTCGACGAAGAATTGTCTCTAGACTTGCTGGCGGTACTGATGAGTTGATGCCTTCTATTTGCACTGACTGATCGGGCGTCTCGGTGGGTTTTACTCTTGTTGTCTGTGGTTCCATCTCACAGCCGTGAAGGTTCACTGGCGGGTAAGCGTCTGGAATGGTTCAATTCATCGATCGATTATTCCCGCGTGCTAACCAGGCTGCCGCTGAAGGGCTGCCTCTCTCTCCCTCTCCATTTGCTCTGGTGTCTGCTCTCATAGCCGCTGGATCATGCAAGTTATTACTTTGGCGAAAATGTTGGGGCGTTCACTTTCAAATCGTTTTGGTGGGTAAAATTGGAGTCAATTTGGTTTTTTTTTTAGAAATTTTGAGTACTTGGCAATCTGAGTTACTACCACATATCCAGTAGGCAGTTTATTTGCAAAAATGTCTTATAAAGTAAAATCATACCATGCACCTTGCGTGCACTATCGCGTGTACATTTCTATATCAATGCAACTTGACTTCAAACACTTGTGATTAATAAGGGTGGATATGGTTCCCGCCGCTTGATTAAAATTGGCTGCTTAAAGCTGTATACATACTTGAATAGTGTCAGCAAGCATCAGACTTGGCTTTATCAGTCATACAAGGGCATATCTGAGCATTTGTGAATGATATTGGGACAGGTGTTTGCAGTCGTTTCATAGAATGACTTTAGCCAGTGGCTTTTTTGTCCAGAGATCAAAATAACCATTAGTTCAAAGTTTGGATTATTTGGTGATCATTTAAAGCAAAGTTAGCTTCCAGTAGTGAAATCGCTGTCGAGAACGTACGAGATGGTTTGCAATGTAGAGGGCAAATCATCGAAGGAGATCGGCGAAGCTTATTTACCAAATCAAAAAAAATAGTCAGACTGGTAAAACCCTATGCAATGCGCGTATTATGGGTTAATCCTTGTTCGCTTTGCACCTATTATTAATTTTAAGTCGATTCAACTTCTTGACTGTCGTACTTCATGGCATGACACTGCATCTTGCCGCTTCAAATGAGGTAAATCTCATAATCTTACAAAGTCTTCCATAACACAAGTGTATGACACCTTTATTGCGATTACTTTAAACACCAAGATCAATTTTTTTGTTCCAAAGTGATGAGAAACCGAAAAAGGAGATTAGAGAAAGCTGAAATTAAAATCAAAGGATGATGCAAGATTGAGAAAAGCACTTTGGCTACGTGGAGCCGATTATTTTCAAGCAGAGTTCCTCATAATCACCGGAAGTATCACCCTTGATTGCCTCCTCGAGGGTTTCGCCATAGATCTCTTCGTACTTCTCCTTGATACTTTTCAAATCCGTCTGTCATGTCAGTAATGGAAAGAAACATGAGGTAATGGACGGCCGCATATGAGTATGAAGTATGTTTTTGTTTTAATATCTTGAAATGTAAGAGTGAGATTTCAGCAGGCGATATCACATTGAAATAAAATGCAGATTCTTGTTAATTGAAAGAAAGCATGACGGGGAGGAGAGATGATTACTTCATAAACCCAAGTCATCAAAGTCGAGTAAATTAAGCTATATTTATTGGATTAGTTTACCAATTAATATAGCAATTCTATTCATCTTATAAGGTCGTTTATTAATTCATTCACTGAAGCTATCGACTGGGTAAAATGCAAATGAAACGTAAAATGGATTCCGACGCCCGACTTACGTCTGCTCTGAGGGCAAGAACGCGTTGCAAGGTGCAGTCTTTGGTACCAGCTCCTCTCATGGCAAAGTGGAGGAGTTCAGCGAAAAGAGCAGCGCGATCAATGGCGTACCGGACTAAAGGTTATGCGTACATGAACAATCAAAGTCAAACAATCCCACCTCTAGTCACAAGAAAGTCTTCCAGGTCTCCCGATGTCTCCCTCTTTATTGCCTCAATTAATGGGTGACCATAGGCCTACAATTAAAAACGACAACGTATAGCAATGGTAAATAGGAGTGCTTGTGCTTTTATTATGCTTGTGGATTGCGTCAAATGTTTTAGATACTAGGCTAAAAGGCAGATCACCATTTTTAAAATCATTCACTTGGTTTCATCTAGACTGTGGTTTTGAGTGTAGCAAAGGATCCAGGACACTAAACATCACTAAATGCAATTGGTGACTGTAAAATCGATCGCCCGGCGGTGAAACAAGTGGATTTGCGGACCTAATGTTGTAAATCAAGGATATTTTTGAAATCCGAAACGCATGCTCCACCAAACCTTGATGAACACGGTTGACAGTATTATACCAGTATTGCAGAGATGGCAAGTATCATTTTAACTACGTCGAAGAAAGTGGCTGCTGGGAAGGAGGCAGTTTTAAAGGCTACTATCCTGAGCAGGTTATCGCGTAAAGTTGTTAAATACGATAATTTTCAATGAGTTCTTCGGAGAAATTGAATAATGAGAAGCTACTAGAACCAGTGGAAGACTGTTGGGACCCTTGTCCATACCCATGTTCTAGGGACGACAGCAGTAATTGCACAGACAAATTTGTTTCATTCCCAAATAGCGATTGAAGCTGGAAATGATCTTTCACACTCTCTGAATCACCTTGCGTAAGCTGACCACCACACGCACTGTCGGCGTTAAGTGATTCCGGTATCACACGTCAGTGGCATGCGACTTCTTTTAGTGCATGTTGGCGGACTGTACAACGAGAGGAAGCAAATAATGGTGTCACAGTGGTCGATTTTTCCTTGAGTTAATGAATGTTGTCAGCAGTGTTTTGTGGAATGTTAGTGTAATTTCTCAAAATAAAAACACATTCCCCTTCTCACAAATCCACTTCGCATTTATCAAACCAGGGTTATTTGTGCTGCTACCCAAAAATAAATTGAATGTGCACTGTGAAAATTGATGACCTCGGATTTACCCGAATATAGGCCTCATTGGTCGCATTGATTTGAAGGAATGAGCGATTAATGATAGGGCGCATGAAACGACTTTCCGCTGTGCCTGGGCGCCTTAAAAAGGAAAAACGATGATATGTAACAACTGTCAGCTAATCCGCTGCAGTCTGCAGCAGAGCACGGGATCAGTGAAGCCTTAACAACTTTAGTGCTAATCCTTTACTTATCAAACATGCCTTGCAACTCTGATCTCCAAGTTGCCTTGTGTAGTCAAAGCATGATCGTTAGTTTAACAAAAGGCTAATGGAAGGCAATGCTATTGAAGTGAACGATCATTATGAGGTAGCTAAATAACAAGGAATTAGGAAGGAAAAACATCTGCAGGTGATTGATGCGCTGTAGGACTGGTCTTTTTGGGTTAAGTCACAAAAGTTAACGCGGTTAATCAAAATGCACACTAAAATCGGAAATCGTATTAGCATAATACATGTGGTGTCTGGAGCTCCGGTGTTTCGTTCTGATGTGCTTTATCAAGACTCCATACACTGGAGGTGTTAAGCCTCACTTTGACCTTAGGGGAGAGCATGAGGATAAGGGCATCACCACCCTCCCAGCATAGGATTTTCAACCAGTATTTGTACATCTTTCAGCTATAATTGATTTTACAGATCCTTGTCGAAAGTAGTACCTCGCGAAGGTTCGCGTGTGTAAAACGATCACATCATCGTGGGCGTGAAGTTGTGAGGGTTGTCAAGGCCTGACGCAGTGTGTTAATCAGTTAGGATTGGCTAGCAATGTAGCTATGAAGGTAAAAGAAATAATGTCTCATTCCAGCTCACGATATATTTTTACACCGGAGTTGAAGGAAATGGGGGCAAGAAATCGATGCAGTTTTGAAGCTAACTTAGTCTTTACGACATCCCCTTCTCACTTGATTTATCCTTGTTAAAGCACTTATGGTAAACGTGACCGAAAGTTGCTCCTGACACCAAAAACATTTTCGGATGGCATAATCCTGTGCCGTAACTACACCAGCGTCAAATATCATGCCAAGCCTGAACCATCCAAATAGGATGATTCAACTACTGCTATACTGACCCATGCCTTCGTGCCATGAGAAGGGCACGGAAGCAATCGCACAGCATTTAACAATTAACAGGACCTACAAACCGCTCACAGTGAGTAGATTATGAAGCAGCGACAAAATTAGCTTAACAGCAACAAGGCTGGTCAATTTCATCTTGATGGCTTTGCTGAACGGAAAATGCTGTCACGGATGGAATTCAAAAAATGGTATGAGTTAGAGTTAAGACACAAATAAATCCCTAAGTCCTCGCCTAGTTCTCGTTTTGGGCTGAAGTCGCAGCTGATCAGGCGGTAACAGCGCATCGCTATAGTAGTGGCACTTGTGGGACTGTGCCTAAATTGCAAGCAATAAAGTGCAAGCGATTGTTCATTTTCATACTTAGCCCTTCACATTCTAATGGTCAGACGTGGGTACTCAGCTCATGCGTGTTAACACTGGTGATTTTGAAAGCCAACGTGCATGCCAACGATTTCACGTCCGCTCAAGCCTTGGAGAAAGAAATTTGGCGCTGTATTCACATAATCCAATCGCACTTATGCAACAGGGTCGCAGGAAAGGCAACATAATGATGTCTGTGTACCAGCAAATCCGTTGAGGCCTTTTAACTGATCTGGTATTCCGTGTTTAGCCATATAAACAATAGGAATGGCAAGTTTTCACATAAAAATCTGTGATTTTTGCACGCATCTCTACTCACTTGAAATTTTCGGCACCTTTTGCATTGTTGGATATGGCGTGCTGATAATAGTAGAAGTATTAGAATTAGTAGTGTTAGCCGTACCTTTCAAAGTGTGAATGGGATTACTTCAGATAAAGTAATGTGTTGTTAACGGCGTAGACTATTAACAATGCTCCAGACCTTCCGGCTTACCCCTCACCACAAGCGTGCAGTTCCTTTGCATCCGCTTCAGCAAGGCCGAGATTCACCACCTGACTGAGTGTGGAGGGTGTCAGGCTTTTGAGTTGCATCGCCTGGGGCTCGTCAGCCTGACCAGTGAGGGCCAACAGAAGTGCTTCTCGGTAGCTGCCGCTCGTGTCCCCCTTGATCGCGTCCTCAAGACTTTCCCCTTCGCTCACTGTCAAAATAAAAAAATTAGAAACAAATTAGAGAGTCGAACTAGTAGAGGAGTCTGACGAATGATTGTGTGGTTCTTTCACCAAATTCAATCTGTCAATTTATTGGATTATTTTGCATTTCCACTGGCACCTAAAGCAGTTCCTGCAAAGAGTACAGGAGCAAATCTAACGCAGAAACTCGTCAGAAGATTATCCAGTAGCCACAAACCTTCTTCGAAGGCCTTTTTCAACTTGGGAATGTCCTCCTTTGAACATCCAGCAATAATTTCATTGAGTACGCGCTCCTTAGTTCCAACTCCCCTCATGGCCTTATAGAGAGCTCCTGCCATCACTTGCCACGGTGATTGGATTAGCAATAAAGCAAATTTTCGGAAATTCCCACTCAGCTCACTGGTTAAAGCCTCATGCAGGGTCTGTAATAAAATTGAAGTGAATGGATATCTTGTGCCGTAAATCATCTTGCTTTCCGAAAGGCAACTTCTACTGATCTGCCTTTTGATGAATTGTCAAGCACTTTGCGTCCAGACTCACAGTAGAGAGAGATGCTTTAGAAACAAGGCAACCTTGGCCCTTCACTGGATGAAGGAGGTCACACTTAATGGTGTTTATGCCTTTTTGAACTCCGCTAACAAAGATGGTCTCAGGTGAAATCAGCTCTTCTTTGATGACATCGGCTAGCAGCCCAACTGCCACGCCCCGAAGTAAAATAGTGTTTACTTTACAACTGTGGGATCTTATGGCCTGCATTGAATGCAAGGTCATCCAACTGAGTCGGGAGAGTCGTAAAGTATGTTGCCTTTGAATTCAAATGCTTCCAACTAAAAGTCATGACGGCGAGAACTAATGCATCCTTTGCCTTGCCTCTATTCCTCATTTCTTTTATCAAACTTACTGATTTCTGCTAATTGGGAGAAGTAAGCACACTATACACGAAAAGTGAACAAGGTTGGCAAGCCTAATCGGTGCAGACTTGACAATTCTAACAACCAGGTACGGCGACTTTTCTTTGACCGGGCTCGGTCATAAAAGTCTTGTTTTTTCATGAGGCAGTGGTAGGAGGTAGCAAACCTTGCTGGAAATTGAAGGATAGACGTCGCGAATGGCCACCCTTTCAGCTGAAGTACGATTTCCAAGTACATCGATGATTTCATGTTCGTTTGTGCCTAAAAAGTCGAAGATGCATGTATCGTTCATTTAATTCAAACCATTAAAATTCCCCTTGAATGGGTGGAAGTTAATTTAAGCGTCTCAAATTTTGCTTTTCACTTTAACAACAATTCACCGAACCACCATCGGCCTCATTTGTAACAGTTTCTGTAACGTTTTGAAGGTCAGGTGACAAACACCCTGTTCCCGGCGCCAGTCCACTTGGCGGCTCAAACGATGCAAGTTGCGGTAGCAATAGCGTGCAGCATCAATATCATAACAAAGTCACATAGTGGTTGCCGTTTGATGAAGCCTTGTGTTTGGTGACAGTGACGTCAAACGTGTCGACGGAGAAGCTCTCATTTAAAGTCTCACTTAAATTGCTAAAAGGTGATTGCATTTTTTGCTTTCTTAAAAACTTTTTGATCGGTAAGTTCAAACTTTAGCTTTTGTGTCCTCTTCAAAAGCATTAAGGCTTCGATCCTCCTATGGCGTGTCCAGTGCATCCATTTTTATGCATTAGCAACGAAACGAACTGGGGTTTTTCATAGAATAGTACTTTAGAACATGTATCAACACGATCTGCTCGACCCTATTCAGTTGTAAATACATTTTAGTTGACTATTTATGTGCATTAAAATTATGCTTAGCAGTTGTGGCTCAATTCGCTAGTCGAAATACGGATGGAACATGGCGGAACGAAAATGTAGCCTTTAAGAGGTGGAAATTCTACACCATTCTCTTGGATAGAGAAGTGCGCAATTTAGTGATATCAAGGCCGTATTTTAGAGCCGTTTCAATGCTAAAATTCAGGATAGTTACTTTGAAACCAACGATGGATTCGTTACTTCGCATAAGAACAACTATATGTACTAGTTCTTCAAACATCAAATAAAAACCCTTAATGGCAGTGTACCGAGTCCTCGCATTGCGCGCTTCAGGTGCTCAGCGTCGGCGGTCGGCGAAAACCCAGATGTCGGGGTGATAGTGGGTTTGTACTTCTCTCCATCAGGAGCATACAGATGAATCAGGGAGCGGCAGTAAGACCTAATTTTTAATGAGATACTAAGATTAGAATGAAACAATATTCAGTTCAACCTGCCCTACTAGCCAAGGGTACGGGTAAATTTACCCTCTATGCTTACAACTCAAGTTTAGTTGTAAATTCAAAAGCTGATTGTTTTAAAACCATTGAATGCGCGATCCAAACATGATTCAACATGAGCTATCGGTTTAATTATCGAGTTGCAAGGTTGTGAATTTTAAGCCTGTTCCTCGATGAGAAGCTATCGTGAACCACCGTCTAACAATCGCATCTCGTTTTAATAACATTTATTATTTTGATTTTACTATTTAAGTCCATTCCTACGGGACAGCTGCAGCTTTTTTCGCCCGTAAATAATGGAAAGATGAAGCGCCAACTTACATAGCTACAGGCTACCGGTGGAGTGGCTGCTTCGTGTGCGCATGAAGGCGCTCGATAAGCCGGCTGTTAGGATTGGTCACTGATGCCGACCAATGGTGAGCAAGACACCTCTGGGTTTTTAGGGCAGTGATTGCGTTTAAACCTCAATCTCGTCATACGTGACCAATGGACCGATTTCCTACACAAGCAAACATGCTTTTACAGGCGTCTCATCTGAGTTGCATCACAAGAATCACTGATTAGTGGGAAAAAATAATTAAATGTTGAATTATGAAATGCTAATGCTACCCTATATCGGTTACAGAACTGGTAAGTACATAGGGTGGTGCGTTTGTTTTCGTGTGACTCTCGGGTTTCGTAAACGTCAGCTTGGCTAACAGTTTATCTTCACAGAGCAATCTTACTTCAGGCTCATATTAAGAGACTTAGAGCCTTCGAAGAGTGGGAAATGTATGTTCATGCCGAACCTCAAGATGACGTCAATTATGACATGAAGGAGCGCTACTATTTTGATCATATATTTTCTCATAAACTGGGAGTTGATTTTGCTGCTGTTGTTGCTTGCCTTGCAGTACTGACCATGTTGCAATAGTTTACAGTATGACAAAGGGACTAGACTGTCTGATACCTTTGGTGTTTGCGAAAACCTCGGTGCTGCTCGAAGGGACTGGGATGGCTATTGTCCATTTACCAAGGCTGCATTCTGAATCAATCCTGAGACCACAATCCTTCTGTGCATCAATTAATTGCAGACTTTATTCATTACACATTCCACCATAATTTCAATAATAACTTTCAAAAGATGTTCCATTTTGTATTTGATTGTCCGACACCTACAGTTTCTGGTGATCTGTTGATGCAAATTATTGTTCGGACGGTAGTCGAGACGCTCTAAACCAACTACCACTGACTTTGCTGCCAAATGACGCATGTGGGAAGCTAAATTAGTAGCCGATATAATTCTCATAAAGATCCTGCACTGCTTATAATAATGAGTAGTATCATAATAAGGTGTTTGATTGTGGATTTAAAGTCATGCCGTCTGCACCACAGATAAACGGCAGTACTAAATTCACAGAAGGCTAACCATTTATTTAAATTTTAAGCGATAAGTTGGTTTTCTAATAGCATTAGAGTGATGTATTTCTTAGGGTTTGCACACATCTTACGCATTCTTTTCCACTTTGAAACGTTCGCATCACACTTCATAAACCCATTTAGGCTTTTTTGAACGTTCCTGTAGCTTCCCGAGGCTTCCCATAGGGTCAAAGGAGGCATAAGTGAGGTCGAATACATGCATTCCGAAGACAACAGGGTAAATGGGGCCTGAGCGTGGCCCGAAGGCCAGTCCAGGTGTACAGGGGCCAGATAAATTCTAAAGTGACCGCCAAACGTCAGGTAGTCACATAACCCATTACACTTCCGACCGAGTCAGTTTTGCAAAAAATCGACAAACCTCCATTTTCAGATATTTTTATTAAAAGGAATACAGAACCTTTGGCATAACCTTGCGATGCTGACGTAGTCGAAGGCGAAGTTTTTGCCTCTGGCGGGACATCGCCTTCTGCCATCATAGTTTCATTGTCATTACTGTGGTGTAAAAAATCTGATAGAGAAAGTATCTTCAAGGAGGGTAGAGCGTGGACGATGGTATAACCGCGGGGATCGAGGTCGGCAGTTTAAGAAGCATGATGGTGATAAGAATTGGGAAGAGGAGAGAGCTTAGGCTCGTTTGCTTTCAAAATGCATCCTGTTATGCGTTAGTAGAAAGGCAGAGTGTAAAAGAGGCAGTTATTTAACAATTTACTAACCATTACTTATCAGCTCTGCGTCCTCGTTTCATTGTACTGATGTTGCCCATTAGTAGCGATGACAGTGTTAAATTTCTATTTTTAGACTCACTAGAAGTGGAAGTATGGAAGGAAGTGTCGAACTACCCTCATATTAGCCCATTCATCTAAAATTACCTTTAAATTTTAAAAGAATAGTAAAAAAGGACTAAAAATACTACCCATAGGGTTGTTTAAAAACCCCCTAAGAACCCAAACTTTAATAGAGTAGACATTTGGGGCACGAATTTTTCCAGTCCTTTAAGAAATTTTCATGCATTTTTTCGGCATTTTATCTGTTTTTTAAGCAAGCCATGATGGTTCGCATCATTTCGCTTTTATTATGGGTACATAATTGCCGATTGGGAATGCTCATGTTAGTCAGGGAAATTGCTCAGCTTAATCGCATCCTTCGGCAGGGACAGCAGCGCTTTAATCATCAAGTATTGAGGAAGCAGATCGCCCTGCCAAATCAGTGTTAAGACAAGTCGGAGCCTCTATCACTTCATTTTAACAGTAGAAAGTGGTTACAAAGTGAAGTTCACTTTATCACCAGTGCAGCTTCTCGGGCTTTCCACTTGATAATAGGAGAGTTTGTGGATTTATGGAATTGTGAAGAATACATTTGGTTATTTACTTGTTAGTAAAACTACTTTTTTGCTAAAGGTCGTAAGATTCTTGGCAAAGGTGGACTAAAGCATTCCTTTGAAAAGTGCAAACAATATCATACCGGATGAGGGATTGGTTGGATTATAAGAAGACTCCCAGCACCCTGATTAAAAATGGCTTGTCATCCACCAATCAGTTGATTCGGTCTCAGAGGTGGCCAAGAAGAGGGAGAAATAAGGGAGGAAAGTGGCTAAGTTGTAGTGTCGGTACAGCCCTTGACAACACAACAATTACTTCAACATCCCAATGTTAATTTGGAGGAAATTAAAAGGACGAAAGCACTTATCACGCGGCTAAAACCATGCTCTTAATATACGGGATGGAATAGTCTAGGGAATTTCAAAAACCATAAGGTGCAATCATTGCAAAGGTTAAAATGTTTTCACTTTATAATGATAAAAACCCGATTTGAAATTTGGAAACTTAATAGAAGTTAATCGGTGATGATGCAAAAACTTTCATTCTTCATCATATTCGAAATAAGCTTGGGAATTCGCTATCGTTTTCCAAGGAAAGTACAATAAATTTCACTTCCAATAGTTGTGTAAGTAAACATCAAAGTGCACCACTTCACCCCTTCATCTTCCCTTTGGAAACCTTTAAAACAAAGAGGGCAAAGGGACTGTGCAATTCTGTAATGATTAGGTTCGATGTACTCTAGTTCAGGCTCAAGAGAGGTGAATTTATGGACGCTTGTCCACTTCGTCGAAATGAGGCTCTCATCTAGCCCGGGGTCAGACCCATCCTCCCGTCTGCCTTCCCATAGGCACGTTTAAGTAATTCTTTCAACAC